AGATTTTCTCTTTGGTTCCCCTTACAATTTCTATCTTCTCATTGGTGGTCTCTATGTTTTTGGAATATCATTCTCATGATTTCCTTTGGTTTTTTGTACATAGTTTCCTTTAGCTCTTTGGTATATTTTAAATAGTTGGTTTGTAGTCTGTTTAGTAAGTTCAATGACTTGCCTTCCTCAAGAACTGTTTCTATTATTTCTTTATTTCCTGTGTATGGGCCACACTTTCTTGTTTCATTGCATGACTCATAATTTTTTGTTGAAAGCTGAACAGTTTGAATATTATTATACGGCACATCTGGAAATCATCTTCCTCCCACCAGGGTTTATTGCAGCTGCTTATTGTAATTGCTGTTGTTTGATTGCTTAGTTCTCTTTCCTTCATTAGTTTTGTAAAGACTTTATTTGTTGTTGTATATAGCCACTGAAGTCTTCATTTTGTTAGCCTAGTAGTCAGCTGGCGATTTAAATACAAACATGTATTCTTTGCCTGGAACCAAAAAAGAAAATAAAACCTCTCGGTGTTTGCAATGGACTCTATGTATATGCTGGGGTATACCTTCAATTCTTGGTGAGGCACTTCACAACTCTGCCTTAGTCTTCACCTCCTCCTTGTGGAGAGCCTTGAGGTCAAGCAGAAGTGAAAACTTCGCAGTTCTTTCCTGAGCATGCACCCAGCTCTGGGCATGCAAGTGGGCTTCTAGGTTCCCACAAATATATGAGAGCTCTTCAAAGCCTTTATTTCCCAATGTGTTTTAATCCCCATTCTTTTTTTCCAACCCTTTTGGTTTTTCTATAGTTTGTCCCGACTGTTATCTATTGCTCCAAGTGGCAGCAGCTGTTACATCTGCCTTTTAATGTTTTCAACAAATTCCCCTTGAGTAGCTGCCTTAGCCCTTGGAGATCTCAGCAATGAGTCAATTCTTTAGGGAGCCACAAGACAGGTCAAAACAAACAACCACAGTTATTTGGAAATTAGGTCTAGTCTGCCCCCTTATGTACTAGGAGCCTATATAATGAATATGAGTTGCTATCTTCAAGGCCACTGCTGAGCCAGGGTAATTTAAATACCATGAAGCTCTATTATCAAGATTCTGGTGGTTTTTTGTTTTGTGTTTTTTCCTTGATTAAATATTCTCCTGGTTGCTGTAAACTTCTAGTTAGTTTCCCAATTTCCAATCAAGTTGATTCTGACCACCTTTGCCAGTTTATTTTCTCCTTTTGTGGAGGGATGGGCTTTTGTAATTCCCTATTCTGCCATTTTCATTTTTAGGGTGCTGACTTTTGAAATGCAATACATGCTTCAAAACAGCAGGCATTCTATGGAGCTGGGGCCCATCAGATAGATTACATGGGAAACAAGCAGTGTAAATAGAAGTGGCCCCGTCACCATCATGCCCAGTGGCTCGCCTCAAGAATGCCTTTAACTTTAGGCTCCACTGGACCAGTAATGCTGGTCCCTTAGCATGCCTGGGCATCGATGGGGAGGAGACACTTATCCCAGGGATGCCTAAAGCTGTAGCAGCTCCTTGTTGTTTTAGGCTCTTCATGCCAACAGAGCAGTAGGCAAAGAAAGGAATGCTTGCACTTGTAGGAATGTCAGGTTCTGCCTATCATGAGGAAGTAGCACTGCTGCTAGATAACGGGGTCAGAGAAAAGGATGCCCAGAGCTCAGGGGATTCAGTGGGGCTCATCTCGGTGTTTCCCAGCCCAGTGACAGCAATTATGGGCAATTGCAGCAATGATAGTCTTCCCAGTGCACAGCGACCAGGGGTTCAAACCTCTAGGGATGAAGACCCAGTTACCCCCGCAGACCAGCACGCTCAATATGCAGGAGTGGCCAAGTATGAGGGCTATCCAGAATGAGTGGTGACACACAGAGACAATGAACACCAATTATGACCTTAGAGTCCATGGTAATGATGGGGTCTATAGCTTGTTTCACGAACCCTCTTTCTTAACTTCTTTGTAGAAATCGTGACAGGCAACATCCTAAAAGAAGCAGTAGCAGGAGGGAGTGGGCTTAACATGGGAAAGCAGTATCCCCCAGGTCTCAGCATTCCCGCGCAAGCTAGCCTGACTTCCATCTGCCAACACATACATCTCTTTGCCAAGGGCTTCCTCTGGCTGCTGGAGCCTGCTCTAACCACAGGCATGGCAGCCTAGAGGTGCCAGAGTACCATTGCCACATCCCCAACTGCAGTCCTCGACCAGCCCAACCTCAGATAAGATGTCACGGAGGACGCCAGGGTATCACTGTGTCCACCACTGGCTTCACGTGCTCACAGGGGCAGCTTGTGTGTTAACAATTGCTTCCTGGGTTTCCCTACAGTACTGTTCGGCATGAAATAAACTGCTTTCATTCAAATCCATGACTGAAGGTCTGCTTCTTGGGAAGCCCAGAAGAAGATGCACACGTCTCTCCTCCTTCCCTCGAGGAAAGCTAGTGTCTTGCTTCTGACTGTTTTCCTTCCCCTTCAAGCATAGAAACGGGGCATTTTGACAGGCAGAACAATTCGCTCACTGAATTGCTGCCCATTGTACTTGGAATGAATAATAACAACAACAAAAGCCTCCCTAACACAGCCTGCCGAACCCCGTAGTCTGTGAGCGCAGCCTCCAATCCTGTCCTCGCTGCTTCTCGTTTTATAACATGCTGTGCTCCGGCCCACCGCAGAGCCTTGGCTCGCACACATGCTCTTCCACCAAAAACACCCTTCCCATCATTTGTCATTTGGTGAATTATTACACATCCTTCAGGTTTTAGCTTTCAAGCCGTTTCCTTGAAACAATCTCCTCCAAGCCCCCTCGTATCAACCATTTCCCTCTGATTCTCCTTCAGAGGACACCCTGCTTTTCCATGTTATGCTTATACTAAGTACCCTTCATATATTTACTGGTGTGTTTATCTGATTAATATCTTTCTCCCAACTAAACTCAGAAATGCTGAGATGGGCCCTGGAGTTCTCCAAGGTAGATGGAGGGCACAGTGAAGATAAGAAGGAGGGAGGGCAAGAGGGGACCTGGCCAGGAGCCCACAGAGCCCTGGCTGATGGAAACATGAGGTGTGAAGAGGGTGAGCATTTTCAGAAACTTTGAGGGCTGTTTTCCCGCCTGACCCCACAACCCCCTCCACCTCGGTCCTCATTTCCCCGCTCCACTTGATAATAAAAGTTTTCAAAAGAATCGTTCATGTCCCTGTCTCCCATTGCTCTCATCTCAGTCACAGAATCAGGCTTTTGTACCCACTACACCACCAAAACGTTTTGTCAAGGCCGGCTACGCACCTCCAAGTGGTAAATCCCAGGGTCCATGGCCACTCCTCATTCTCTCTTGGCCCGTCAGCAGTAGACACAGCTATGGGCCCCACCTTCCTGAAGCTCTCTCTTCCCCTTGCAGACCATTCCTCTGCTTCTCCTTCCTCGCCAGCCACTCCTTCCCAGCCCCCTTTGCTGATGTCTCCTGACTGCCTCGACCTCTGAATTGTGGAAGGTCCCAGGTTCAGACCTTGGTCTCTGTTTCTCTGACCACAATCACTCCTTAGCTGATGTCATCCTGACTCATACAGGTTTTAAATGCCTCCTCTAAGTCAACAACTCCCAAATCAGAATTACTAGCTTGACCTCTATATTCAGCTCCTGCCTGCAACCTCCCCTTAGAGGCTGTAGATAGTCAAATTCCTCATGACCCAAAGCAAACTCCTGACTCTTCTCGCTCCGCGCTGATCCTCCTGCTATATTCCCCACCTCAGTAAAAGATAACTCTGTCTGTCCACGAGCTCAAGCCAAAACCCTTTGTGTTCCCTTGACTGCTTCCCATGTCCAATCCATCATCATTGTCAGGAGTGGTCTTCCTGTTTCTGCCCTTACCTTCCTACAGCTCTTTCTCAACACTGCTGCCTGAGCAACCTTTGAAAAAGAGACTCAGGTCATATCATTTCTTGGCTAAAAAGATTTCAGTGACTCCCATCTACTCAGAACAAATCCAAAGTCCCAACAGCGGTGCACAAGGCCCGACCTGATCTGCCCCCAGCCGACTCTCTACCCTTTGCCCTCATCTCTGACCCCTCTCCTTCTCGCGCCCTTGGCTCCAGCTCCCCTGGTTTCCCTGACGTTCCTTAAACATGACAAGCTCACTGCTGCCCCAGGGTCTTTGCGCTGTTGCTTTTCCTGCCTGCAGTACTTTTTGCAGATGGCCCCAAGACTTGCTCCCTCATTTCTTCAGAGATCTGCTCAAATATCAGCGGCTCCATAATATCTTCCTTGGCTGCCCTATTATCAGTGGTAACTCCATGTCCCTAGAGTTTCCTATGCCCTTAATCTGCATTTTAAAATTTCACAGCACCTACCCCCATCTCATTTTCTATATTCACTTATTTGTTTGTTTATTGCCCATCTCCCTGGCTAGAACCTGAGTTCTATGAAACTGCGAAGTGTGTGCTCAGCTTACCACTGCAGCCCCTGAGCTGGGAACAGGCCCTCTAAAGTAATTAATGAGACTCTGCTCAATAAATATTTGTAGATCAAACCAACAAGTAAGTGGATTTATATTTACTTCCACATGGATTTCAGGAATATGTTCAAGACGTCATCTAGTAACAAGAGTTGTGAACTGGGATTCTGAGGAAACGGCTCATTCCTGACTCCTTACTGACCTTTTTGTATGTTTTCAAAGCAAACATGCAAAGCATGAAGACCTTCAAAAACCCTTCTCTTGCTTCTCAAAGCCTGATTCAGCTTGCAAAGGCAGCAGGGCCCTTCCTTTTCTTGTAGGAAACCTGAGTCTCTTAGATGGTTTCCCCATATGACCTTGGTCAAGCCAGATACTCTCGTTGGACCTCAATTTCTCCTTCTGTGAAGCCTCCAAGGTCTTCCAGCTCTGACATTCTATGATTCGTTTCCATAAAATGATGAGTTGGCTGTGGCACTTTGACCTCACTGGGGCAAACATTTCAGATAAGCAGGTCCTGCTATCTCAGGAGCCTTTCTCTTCACCTCCATCCCTTCACATGAAACCCAACACCAGAGTTTCTAGGACAGCCTCCTCATTGATAAAGTGTTCCCTGACTTCTCAATGAGCTTGTACACTGTAGCTGCAGCGATAATGGGCTATATCTGGCCGGCCCGGAATCCTGCCCATGTTCCAGTCAGTGCCCTGGCTATCAGTTGTCTGCTGAGCATGAATGGCCAGAGGCAGAAAAAGGACAAGGAGCCATGCTGGTGAGAAGTGGAAGTGATTAACTTATGTCGCATGCTCCAGCGTGAGTTGCAGCCAGCGATAGGCGAATGTATGTTGACAGCTGCCTTGGAGTTCACACCACACCGTCAGCACCCTACAGGAAACAGATTACTCCAGGGCTTGAGAGCTCGTTGACAGCTGGAGCTTTCTGATAAAGTTGTCAGAAAGTGAAAAGGACAGTCCCAGGAAATTGTAAGTTTCCTGTCCTTGGAGGTGTACTGGTAGAAGAGGAGGAACAATGGCTGGAATGTTGTAGATGAGGTTGAACGTACACTGATGGGCTGGGTGCAGTCGCTCATGCCTGTAATCCCAGCACTTTTGGATGCCGAGGGAAGCAGATTCTCTGAGCTCAGGAGCTCAAGACCAGCCTGGGCAACATGGCAAAAACCTGTCTCTACTAAAAATACAAAAACTTAGCTGGGTGTGGTGGTGTGTGCCTGTAATCTCAGCTACTCAGGAGGCTGAGACACAAGAATCGCTTGAACCTGGGAGGCAAAAGTTGCAGTGAGTCGAGATTGCACCACTGTACTCCTGCCTGGGTGACCAAGCAAGACTCTGTCTCATTTCAAGAAAGGAAGAAAGAAAGTAGAAAGTGCAGTGACGGGTGGATCATGTCTGTCCTGTTCTTCACAATGTCATTGTAACCTAGCATGATGTCCTCTTCTGTGCTTAAGGGCTCGGGGTCAAGGTGTATCTGTCTGGGCAACTGTTGGGGCCCCAGGAGATGGTGGAATGGAGGGGAGGTGGTATAAGCAAGTTGGACTAAACTTCTAGAAGGAGAGCCAGGATCCAGGTGTCAGGAAAGGGCAAAAATCCAGAGATAGAAAGAGCAAGAAATTCAGGGTGGGAAGCAAGAATTCACAATAAGAGAATGGGGTAAAGTGAAAACAAGTCAAGGTCAACTAGAATTGGAGGACAGTGGTTCTAAGTGGTCACTTATAAACTGGAAAGGGTATGATGTCAGGTGCATTGGCCTAGATTTAAAAATGACCAGAAGTGGGGTGTACATTGTGTCTTGCTGATAACACTGCACTGCAGAACAGTAGCAATCATCTTTTAGGAAGTCCAGTTCAGAAAAAACAGAAAGGCTAATGGACCATATTTACCACCACCTAAAATGAAATGCCTTTGTTAATTTAACTCTCATGAAAAAAATACAGATATTCTTATAACTTGGATTACATACTTTGTGCAATGTCACTTAGAAAATTGGTACTGCTTTTGGCCACTTTGATGTTACTCTCCAGGCCTATTTGAGAAGAAGCCGTGAGGTGGCAACTTCCTAATCTTTCACCTCAGTATAGCCCAAGCAATGAGCACTAGCAGACCCTTGTGGGCTATCCACATGATCTCATCTCTGCTGTAGAACTTCTCCAAATGGAATTTCAACTTCAGAGAAAACAGTATAAACTACATGGTTTCGTAAGGAGTCCACAAGTCTGAATACTTATTCTGTTACCAGCCCCACCCCTCTCTTTTTCACTTTGATTTGCATGTAGTTTTGAGTCAGGCCAGAAAAAGCACTTAAAGCTTTCCATTTCATGACCCCACCCTCCCAAAGGCGCGAGCCCTGTTGGGCTTTGGCATCAGTCTGAAAGATCGTGCGCGTTCTCTGTTTCTACCCGAGCATGTCACAGGAGAGAGCCTGACCTGGGTGGGGTGAGATGAGGAAACTGGATGACTTCCCAGCCTCTCATGAGTCAGGTGTTCATGGCCTCATTCTTTTATTCAGAGAGAATTCCTGGAACCTAACCCGTTTTCTGATATCAATGCAAAAACACCTTTAGCGCCAAGTGGCGCCCTTTGGGGTCACATCGATGGACCCTACAGGCAGCCTCCTCTTTGGAATGGGAGAGATGGGCTGGGAGAGGCAGCCAAGAAGCCCTCTTTGCAGAGTCTCTAGGGTGATGGTGCAAAGTTTAAGTTTTACTCTAAGAGCAACGGGAAGTTATTACAGAGTTTGATGCAGACAGGCCGTGATCTGACAACCATTTTTTAGAAGATATCTCTGTCCGCAGCGTGGGTGATGAAATCGAGGGAGGGAGGGTATGAGGGAGACCAGTTAGGAGGCTACTGAGGTCTCCATCCACTTGAGTATTCATTCATTCTCCAAATATTCCCTATTTGGAGAGGCTCCCTACCCTCCCGGCGCTTAGGGATGAGAAGGACAATACAAAAGTAAATGACTCTAGAAGAGATCGTTTCAAAGCGTGATGAGTGCTGTGCAGAACTTGAACAAGGTGCTGTGATAAAAGGGAATGGAGGGGAGGTGACATTCACTTCAGAGGGCTGAAGGGATGGCCTTTCTGAAGAAATGGTATTTGTGCTGAGACCTAATACTGGGACTGTGCGAGTCATATGAAAATGTGGAGTGGGGATGGTGTGGGGGGTGTTGCAGGTAGAGGAAACCATGAGTGCAAAGGCCTTGAGGCAAGAATGAGCTTGGCTTGTGACCAGGCAGTGGGATCTAGGGAGAGAGGTTGGCAGGGACCAAGCTAGGCAGCTCCTTGAAGCCCCCAGTTAGGAGCTGGGTTTTCCTCTGAGGGGATGAGGAGCCATAACAGAGGGTTGCATGATAGAATCCAGAGGCGGCAAACTATAGCCAATAGGTTATGCCAGCCCACCTCCTGCCTGTGTAAATAAAGTTTTATTGGAACATGGTCTCACCCATTCATTCACATGTTATCTGTGGCTGCTTTCACACTACAAGGAAGAACTGTAGTTGTGACAGAAACCAGCTGGCCCACAAAGCCTAAAATACTTTCTGTCTTTCTGGCCTTGTGCAGGAAAGTTTGTTGATACCTGATCTAGTTTGTATTTTCAGAAGGTGACTGACTCTGACTGCTATGTGGGGTGGCGTCATGACATGGAGCTACAAGGCCACTGTAGGACAAGAGATGAAGATGAGGTTGCTCCTTTGCATCAATGCCTGTGGCTGATGTCCCCCTCCTCCATCAGACAGAGGGAGATGGTGGCTCAGACTGATGGGCCCATCCTTCTGGGTGCACACTGCTTCTAAGGTCAGAGGCTGCCCAGCACACTGTGGCCAGCCAGGCGGACTCTGCTTTGCTGGGTGAACTTGGCAAGAGGAGTTCACTGCTGCTTGTGGAGCCTCCGCCCAAACCATAACTGCCTGTCTTTTGTCTGTGACACCTCGTCACCAATTTGGGGCTTAGGAGACAGCGTGGGCCAAGCAGCTGCTTCCCATTCCCCACTTGTCCCATGTCAGCAGCCCGTCGTGACTGCCAAGCGTGCCCACACCGCTCCCAGCAAACGGCGAGGGACACTGTGAGAAAAGGATCTAGTGTCCAAATTGCAGGGCAGTTTGCTTTTGTTTTGTTTCTTAAGAAAAATATGAAATAAGTAAAATAGTTGAGTATTGTGTTAGAAAACTAACCCCAAACATCTGGATTTTTGGTACTGTGGTAGCTTATTTTCATTCTTTTGTTTCTAACTGATAAATATTCACAAAATAATTTTTTTTAGTAAGGAAAACCATCCGTGTTATATAAAGGCATGGTGAGGATGAGAGCAGGGATAAGAACAGAAGATTTGGAATATCACAGCTGTCACAAGTAGCTCCCTCTGGTGGAGCTTATTTCAGCCAGCATTTATTGAGAAACTACTCTGTGCCAACTATTTTCAGGTACTGGGGAAGCTCAGTGGAATAAAACAAGGTGTCTGCTGCCTGGGGGCTCACGATCAGATAACGACTGTGACAGTGGCAATATGACAAAATAACTAAAACAAACCACTTGTGATGTCTTTCATCCTTACAACATCCCTCTAATGTAGGTGTTCTTCCAATTTTAAATTGAGATTTGAAGAGGAAATGCCAGAATTGGGATTTGAAACCACATTTATTTGCCTTTAGAGCCTTCTGCTCCCCTTTGGATTGGTAGAGCTAGAACTAGTCAGTATGTTCCAGGGAGGCAGGCTTTAGCTCACGAGCAGAAGGGCAACTAAAAAGGTGATGTGCTGTGTGTCCACGTGGTGTGTTAATCAAGGCCTACAGAGGCATGGCTGAATCCAGATCCTCGAAGGAGATTCTCAGAAATTAATCTCTCTCCATGTCTTGGATCTGCTTTTCCCTGGCTTGACTGCAGTAGCAAGTAGGTTCTTCCCTATGGAATGGCAGGCTGCCATTAGGAGCTTCAAGCTAACATTCTATCTACTTCACAGAGTCTCAAGAGAAAGAGAGCATCTTTTTCTCAATGGTTTCTGCAAAAGTCCCAGGACTAACTCTGATTGGCCTATTTTGAGTCACATGCCCATGTCTAAGCCAATTTTTGCAGCCACATGAATGTGGGACTCTCATTGAATAAACTCACCAACACACATGGACTGAGAGCAGTCCTCACCCCCTATCTTCTGAGGTCCCCTACTACCACTGTTCCCAATAGTACAAAGGCATTGGGCTCTTTGGGATCTTTGGATCGGAGGTCATGGGCTCCAGTATAATGGAAGGAGGGTGGATTTGGAGTTCAACGGCTTGGTTAGTCACTTACTGTGTGACCTTGATTAAATAACCTTCTCTGAGCCTCATTTATAAGCTGGGTATTATAGCACCTTCCCTGTTGGCTGCAGGGATATTAAACAGGCACTGTCTGCACAGCAGATGCTGAGTCTCAATAGCGAGCTCCTGGAATAGGAGCCACTTGGACAAGGGCTGTTTGTAAAGGCCTGGCCAAGCCAGTTTCCTTCTCCTGCTTCTCTAGCTCCAGCCAGCTCCCCAGAACAATGTTCCCAGAATGAATTGGCTCAGCAACTTGTAGAAATGCTTCCAGAAAAGGCAGTTCACGATCAGGTCCTATGCTTTGCAGGGGTCTATGTTAGACACAGCTGAGTGGTAGAAAATGCACATTCTGGGTCTTCTTCATGGCATCATTAGTGGGAAGGTGAACAGCTGATTTCAAGTAAAGGAGGTTACCCTAGATATTTGGTATGGGCCTGTTTTGATCCATTCAAAGTCCTTAAGAGCAGAACTGAGGCTTCTCTGAAGAAGAAGAACTTCTGCCTGTGGACAGCAGCTTCAGTTCATGCCCAAGTCCAACCTGCCCTTCCTGACAGCACTCCAGTCCCCACAATCATGTAGGCTGATTCCTTGCAGTAAATCCTTTAACATATATCTCCTACTGGCTCTGTTTGTTTGAACCCTGGCTGATACAGACTTTGGTACTAGAAGTGACTTT